AACGGCATTTAATGAACATTAAAGTTAAGTAAACAAAAACCTTTACTTAACTTTTTGACGAATGATTTTGAAATTTTTTGTTTGTTTCCAATAAATTTCAATTTCGATAACGTTGCTACAACAGTGGCAATGGCCCAGTGAGCAGACCACTTTCGTGCCATTCAAGAGATCCGAGTTCAATCCTCGGCAACGAATTTTTTTTAAGTTTTATTACTTCAAAAATTCATATTTTTTATTTTATTTAACGTTTGGAAACTTTTTTGATTCATGTTTTTTCTTTTTCTTTCAGTTTCTAAATTTTTTAGTTTTTTCCGTTTTTCATTTCGTTTAGTTTTTATAAAACTTATTGCTAAGCGATAAATATAATAACACTATTACCACATCTGTCAATTAGTTATTTGAAATACAGAAAAGGGCTTTCAAGATAGTTGCCGAAATATAAACACTTTTGTCTCTCGAAAGAATGAGGTGAGTTGAAAGTCAGATGCCAGAATTGGCCTGTTATTGGTCTTGTTTGTCTTTTAGCAAATAATTAAATTAAACTAAATTTTTTTTTTCTTTTTAAAGCAATAAAATCTATACACCAAAAGAAAATTAGATCAAAAAAACTAAAAAATTCAATACAGACAGTTTATAGAATTAAATAAGAAAAAATTAATAAATAAATAAAAAAAGAAAAACAAAATTTTCCTGCCCTAGGACTCGAACTCGGATCTCTCGAATGGCACGTACTCTGCTCACTCAGCCATTGCGTATGTTGAGCCGATGCGCGCAAAATGATACTGAAAACTGAAACTGAACGAAAAAAGTGAGTGATGCGACAAAAATGAAGGGCCGCAACTGGGGCCATACTTAAATTTTTTATTTCATAATTTTTAACTCTGAGAGGAAACATTGGGTAGGTTCAGAAGGTGCAGCCATTGAGCGCAACCGTTGCTAAAAAAAATCAGTGATCGTTATGGGTCTTCTGAACGGCTTGATGCATTAGCTGTCAAATTCAACTCTCAACAACATGTTGTCTCAAATGACCAGAAAAATATTACGATCATCTAACACGCAACTGTTCAGTGGATCAGAAGTATACAACAACGCGTTCAGAAGGTGCAATGGCAACAGTTACTGAGCTGTTGCGCCTTCTGAACGTGCCCATTAATTAACAGATTTAACGATCATTAGTTAAGTGCCCGTTAGAGCTAATTTAAGGAACGTTTCTGAGTGCGGCTGTAAACACTAAAATCCCTTAACTTAACGAGGTTCGGTATCTCGTACTAATTTCGATAAAATTTGATAACTGTGCGTTTCTAGGGCTTGATAATTTTGGATAACTCCAAAATGTATATATCTCCATATAGATCGATAATCCGATAAACTTTGGATACCTCTATAAATTTCTAGCTCTATATTTTTCGACCAGTTTCTCCGGTAGCACGATAAAACTCGATAAGCAATGAAAACTTGATAAACTTATATAACCTTGAAATTTCGATAACTCGATATATTTTAAAAATTTCAAAAACTACGGTTCGATAAATCGACAATTTTCAGTAAATTAGTAAATATAGGTAGTTCGACAAGTTCAAAGAACTCGATACATTTGCGATAACTCCATAAATTTCGTTAACTCCATAAATATTGATAATGCAATTAATATCGATAATTTGATAAATTTCATAAACTTGACAAATTTCGCTAATACCATTAATTTTTATAGCTGGATCAAAGAACGTATGTAGATAACAAAAAGGGACAACTCGTTATAATTGTAGCGAAAGTGCGCAACAGGGGCATGCCTTCTCTTTTCATCCAATCAAAAAATGTACTAGGGCAAAAGAGAAGGCACGCCCCTGTTGCTCACTTTCGCTACAATTATAACGAGTTGTCCCTTCTTGTTATCTACGTTCTTTGACTGGTTAACTGTCCGTGAATTTCGCCATCTAATTTTCTGTGTCTGTAAATTTACATTGATCAATTTGAATAATTCTACACGTTGCGATAACTTAATAAACATGGGTAACTTGACAAATTTATTTATTAAATTGGTCTTCATCTTTGTTTTTATCTTTCGTGCGTTGACGTGTAAGATATTATATGATGTGATGCCAGGTAATGCAATGCGATGTGATGTGATAGCATGTGCTGTCATATCATGCGATGTCATGTCATATGACGTCACATAATGTGATGTCATGCCATTTGATGTCATATAATGTCATAACATGTGACGTCATGCCATGTTATCATGTTACGTGATATCATAGTATGTGATGTCATATCATGTGATGTGATATCATCTTAAGTGATGTCATATCAAGTGATGTAATATCATCTGATGCCATATAATATCATGTGATTAAATGTGATGTGATCCCATATCATGTGCCGATTGTTATATCGATAACACTCTCGATAAATATACCGAAGCTTTCATTATATCGATAACAATATCGATGACGATATCGATTATTCTATCGATAATAATATCAATCTTCATCCTCATCTTTTTCTTCGTATTTATCTTTATTGTTGCATATTCCTTCGCCTTTACCTTAAAGTGTTTCAGTTACCCTAATCCTTGTTTTAATTTTCATCTTTAATCTTTAATTTTGCCTTCACTGTATTGTCTTAATAATTATCATTTATTTCTTCATCATCACAGTTATCTTTATTACAAAGTTTAATTTTAAATACGATGTAAACCAAACGCGAAAACAATTAAAATTGAACAGGTTGCCACAACAACTATACACAAATACGGGAATTTTCTAGCGGCGATTTTGGCCGTAGTTCTCAACCTATTTTGAAACCATAAAAACTCTCACCTACAGAAAAATTGCTTCCCAATGGTGTTCTTGGTTTTGAAATCGGTTCAGTAGAATCTCAAAACGAACGGAGACAAAATTTATGTAGATTTGTTTATAAATTCTCAACTTTTCACACTCGTCACGAAGTCAAATCACACCCATCACAGTTGAAATTGGAGCATATAATCTATAATTTCCAACAGAGTTAAGGAACTTCGGCGTAAGTTTTGAAAATGTTTATTTTGCTATATAATGACCTCAAAGCACATTGAACAGGTAATATCACCAAATATTTTTAATATATTTCTTCTCACAAAAATTCTAAATTGTTAAAATCTATTTGCATGTGAAACCTTTGTCCATACAAAATAAGCGATTGAATAGCAGCTTTTGGAACACTCGCCCAACTCAGCAGCACAACCGCTGATTACTGGGCCTTGCAAAGGATGAATCAATGCTTCGAGAAGCAAACAAATTTGCTAAGAAAGAAAATTTAGTAATTTTAATTTTTTCCAATTTCAATATTTTGTTTTTTTGTTTTTGTANTAGGATGAATCAATGCTTCGAGAAGCAAACAAATTTGCTAAGAAAGAAAATTCAGTAATTTTAATTTTTTCCAATTTCAATATTTTGTTTTTTTGTTTTTGTATTTCACATGGCACGCTTTGATTTATAAGAAAAAAATCAGAATAGTTTTTGACATTTTCGATACCAGAAGCAACAACAAAATACACGTAAATGTTGTTTTTGCTCTAGTGCTACTACCTGTTTGATATGCCTTGAATGAACTATTTAAAATCATCAGCAGAATACATAGTTAGCAGAAAAACTGTGATACAAGTAAGTAGTACCTAATTTCGTTTGCGTACTCGTCACACCCGTCACAGTGACTAAAATTCATATAACTCGTTTGGATTAAATAGTTTTTGAAATTTTTGTCTAGACATTGTATATACCTCGTAAACCTAACAGAAAGTACTCGTTTTAAAGAATTTTATGTTATAGTTTAAGAATTAAGCCTTAAAATGTAATTTGAAATGTCACACCCGTCACCGTGGAATGAACCATATTTATGTACATAGTTTGTCTAAAATGGGGAAACGAATTCGTTAACTCAGGGAGGCGGGTGTCGTCGTTGTCTCGCCCGTTACTCTTGGGAAAATGAAAATTGTCTCTGTAAATTATATAATTAAGTTTTAAGTGCTGAACACATTGAAAGCGACGAGCTACGGGCCACAGCTTCCAATGTGACATAATGGATTTGTATGAGTTTGACATGAAAGAAGAGGAAGAACCTTATCTGGCAGGTTCTTAACCTAGCAACCCCCCTCGCCCGACTTCAAATATAGTTGTAGTATGTAGTTACATAGTTTGGTAATTCTTGAGTTGGTACTTTAGTTTTAAAATTTTTATTTTATTTTTTAGTTCGTTAGTGTTTTTTTTTTTTTGAAGTTGGTTCTTTACGGGTTTGGTTCGGTTATTTGTACAATGAATTGGGTTTCAATGAATTTTAACATACGCGTGTAGTCAAGGGATTCGACTTTAATTTGAAAGAAAGATTTTAAATTTCCGAGCACTAATTTATTAATAAATTCTGTTTGAAATATGTACTTTTTTGTAAATTTCGAGGTGGGGTTTGCGGAAAAATATTGTGGATGGCTTAGCCGGAGTTGGACTGATGAGGGTTAATTTTTCTAAGCGGGGCCGAAGCCCGCCAAGACGGTAAGGTATTCGCCGCAAAAATGCTGCGAATGGCGTAACCCGAATAAAATTTTTCTTTGTCAAAATGCTAATTTTAACCCATTTTGAAATGGGCTCCGGGTGTATGTAGAGAGCCAAAGAGGGGAAGGATGACTCCATAAAGTTTGGAGTGTGCTCTTTCTAATGGGTGCGGCTTTAGGTGCCACATCCCCCTCCGATAGCGACCACAAAACCATTATACAAATAACAGAAAATTTCCCACGCTCAACACTAAATCCTCTGAAGTATTGTTTGATTGCTGCCATTGTGGCAAGTAGCTCATCATTTTTATAATTTATGAAACTTCGAAAAACTTATTACAAGGCTTTTTTTGTTTAAAATTTTTAAATGACAGACTCGATTAATACGAATTAAATTATATGACACAAAAAATACGTAAATGATATAAATAAATAAATAAATAAACTAACCAATGTATTTACTTGGTTTTATACTTACGACAAAGCTTTCTGAAGAGTTAGCTTCAGTACGAATATCATTTGCTGAGAAACTTGGTATTTTTCGGTAGGAAACTTTTGTAGAAACTCTGAAGCCAATTTCGAACCACTATTAAAAAGATAGGAACACTTTTATTATAATAATTCTGTGAAAGGACACGGTTATCGAATAGTGAAATAGTCCTTAATATTGTGGAATGATACCCGAAAATGTAATCCACTACTTCTACAGGACTATTTCACCACTTAAAATTCTTACTCAACTTTACAAAAAAATAAATATCAATCAGGAAACTGGCGTAATGCAAAGCAGGGACTTTTGGCACTGACGTTCCATACTTAGGTTCAATGTTACTGGAAACTGCTTTTATTTGTGTGTCCAAATATTCATGGATAAGGAGTATTGTAAATATGACATAGATAATAGACTGTGGTGATACATCTCCAACGAATAACTTGTAAAGAACATTGTGTGGCGAAACAGCGTTAAGAATATCGTCCAACTTATGTGATCGTGGCTTTGTTAGAATTTGCGGCAAATTGTCTGCGGGAAAAATCATTAATAACGGAAGTTAGTAAAAATAACAACAACGGCATATTGGTTTTGGCAAACTCGATTTTATTTCTTCTAAATGGTTCCCTTTGGACTATTTGGCGATCTAAAAGTATTTCTAATACACTGCCGAAGCCAATACAGGCTCGAATTAAATTGACCACGAAATAACGTACATACGTATATCTAAAGTTATATTACTGCAAGATAGCGGTAACCTGTCCCGACTTGAAGTTAAAGTTAAGCTATCACACTTCGAAGCTAACCACAGAAGATACTGAGAACCTGACAACTTTTCAGTCGGCTAATGGACTTTCAGAATACGGCTATACTTTTCAGGCGAAGATCTATGCAAGCTAGGTAAACATGATGGATGTTCTCAGTCAAAAGTTGCCTTTTTATACAGGTCAAGTCAGGTTATCAACGAGTAACTCGCTATGATTTTAGAAATGTTAAAAACCCTTGAAATCTCGTAGACAACACATGTAAATTTTACTAGGTCCCAGGACATAGTGATATTTCCGAAAATGAGGAAGTGAACGAGTTCACGAAAAAGGGTCTGATAAAAAACTTTTAGAATGTAATCCAAGTGTGCAACGCTCACTGAAGCTCTTGCATTCAAAGGCGAGGACAAGCGTGAATGAAAGAGCAGAAACATAAGCTTTAAAATTTTATAACGTGAATGTCTTGTTTGAAGCCACGTATAACGATTGCTCTATATTCAGACTTTTGGAAAACCATTTTTTCTTAAGGATATGTGCGGATAAGTTTTTAGAAAATTTTTTTCTTCTGAACCTGAGAGATATCCGATTGAAATCTTTACCTTATACGCTAGGGGGTCTAGAATATTTATACCGCCGCACTATGTAACGAAATGCCGATTTCATGCGACTAATTAAAAACTTTTTTAATTACTTTCTACATTTAAAATATGGTATATAAATGTTAAAAATAATTAATTTGGGTGTGTAAGTTATATATCGGTTAACATATGAGCACACACACTGAGAAAAAAAAATGCGTTGTAAGAATAAAAATTTTTTATTTGATTACCATTTAAAAATGCTCGTTTTTAAATATAGTGAAAAGTTTTAACAAAATGGATTTTTCCATTATACAATCACTACGTATAGTGGAAATATTCAATTTAAATACGCCTGTATTAAAATGAAGAATTTTTCACTGCACGGATGGCGTTTTGCACGTCTCGGATGCTTTTTCATATACAAATGTATAAAAGCATACACAGCGGTGACAACACATACACCCATACACACATACATGGTATGACCCCTGCAGCAAAATTTAGGGACAGTCTGTCAAAGCGCTAGTTCCGCCCTACAAATTTCAGAACTGTCTCTGAACTACTGAAAAAGGGATGCTGAGTTGGACGGTTGAAACTGGTCATGTGAAAGCTGACAAAAGATGCACAAATGTAATATACTATATTTTTTCGATTTTCTTAGACCCTAAAACTAATAACAAACTGTTTTCGTTTATTTAATATGTAATTCTCTACATAGTTTATGGGGCAACTGCTAAAATATTTCCAAAAAAGTCGTTATTGGTAACATTAATGTCATTTTTATACATATCTACGTACGTATAAAATTTAATGCAAAATATAAAATTTAGTTAAGCTACACTTGACAGGAAAGGTCTGCGTACACCATTTATTTTTTAAATATTCACAATATATTGAGAGTTAAAATTATTTTTATTATTTAAATGATCATGCTTAAAATAAAATAATATTAACCGTGTTTTAAAACTTTATACAAAACGAAAGTTAAACTTAACGATTTTTCATCAAAATGTTTGACTTTTTAATCAGATTTAAAAAAATAAACCAAAGTGGTAAACAATCTCACTTTGAAATGTGAGTGCTATTGATATGAACGATACTGTACATACGTAAATGTATCACTAAGCACCCGAAACAAGGCGAATTCATATAAGGTGGTATCGATTCAACAAATACAACAATTATCTGTATTTTTTTTTTTTTGTTTTAGCTGGTGATTGTCAAATTTCAGCTATTCTTCTCCGAATGAAAAAGGGCGACAGAAAATGCAAACACTTTCACGTTTTCACTCACTCACTAGCAAAATATAAAATTTTGACAATCAAACGCTACACACAGCTGATTAAACAACACCACCTTATATAAATTCGCCTTGACCCGAAATGTGTAGTTATGCAGTGATTTTTTTTTAATTTCCAATGTTTTTCATATTAAATATTTTTCGTTTAGTTTTTATTTAAGTACTATGTCTCATACTCCATAAACCATTTAAATTCAAATTCCTAACTGTGCTGCAAACTTGATAGAACTATTTCGAGTATTCTGTTTTGTAGCCCATCAAATTTTAGTGTAGTAAAGTATAATCTTGCATCTTAAACAAAAATATTTAAATATGAGAATGCCTTCAAGAGCGTGCGTAAAAAGAGTTATAAAAAATCAGCGCGATTAATTATACTAAAATTTAATGGGCTATAGAACTGCATACTCATAAACTGATTTAAAATATTGAAGTTTTTATAACAGTTTCTAGAATTCTACTAAATTTCCAACACAGTTAGAAACGTGAATTTATTTGTTTATGTTATAATACTTATGAGCCATCCTTAAATAAAAAATTTACGAAAAATATTTAGCATGAAAACTGTAAATATTCAAAATTCTATATTTCTTATGAGATGCCGGAAATTCTATGTATTACATTTCAATAAATTTAATCCAATTTAACGCTGAGTTATCACAAATAATCATTCAATATATCATCGTTTTTCTCATTTTTTGACACGACTTAGTTCAGATTTTTAATTATAGGTATCCCAGAAATACTCATTATACGTAACAAATATAAATTATTTTTAAGAATAACGGTTTTAGAAAATAAAGGAATAATTGACACACAGTTTGCTTTAAAAAGTAAATTAGTTCAAAACAAATAGCTCTTTAAACATAAAATGAAGTATTTTTATTTACAAAATTGTATGCGTGCTTATTTAAAGAAAAGGCTCTATACTATACTTATTAGAACCAGCTCAAAACTAACCACATTTTTTCTAGCCCGCAGGTGACCCTTTTTGAACTATCTAAGAACTGTTGTTATATGAACTGTACCAGAACCATCTAAGCCAGAGTCAGCTCAGAACAAGTTCAAAAGTTCTGCAGAGGGCGACAATTGTCACTTCGTAGGACATCGCCATGTTAAAAAAGACAGTTGCAAGCATTGAGTTGGGATAGATGAAGAACCAGTACCGTCCCTTTTCAGGCTAGCTCAGCGTAAGTTCTGAACTAGTTTGATTTGCTGCAGGGACATAATGCACTAACCACACGCTGTGATGTTGATTCAAACTCACCGTTTGAAAACACATTTACATGTATGGCTGTAGCTGAGTGTGCAAAGACGCTTGATACGACCCAGCAAATAATTAGGTTTGATATACATTTGAGAATGATTTGAAATCAAAGCCTTTATCAAATGTCAAACGTTTGAAAATGAGTTGATATTGATTTGAAAATTACAGCTTTCTCAATAAAAAGGGGAGTTTGATCTCCATTTGAGAATATGGTTAACTCTCAAACCAATTTCAAAGGTTATTTATCAAATGTACTTCTAATGTGGAAATAAAATTTATAATAGGAAATATATATTTCATATTTATTTTTTCTTCGCGATGTACATATGAGTAGTCCACTTGCAAAGTGCGGTATGTAAAATTTTTTCGATTTGTAGTTTTTGGTGGATTACGTACCAGTATTTAAAGTAGTTTCATGTCCACTAACAACACAGTGCAAAATCGTTTTATATTCTGAAAAAATAGCATAAAATGTTAACTCTTTTTCCAAAAGTCGATATCATACTTATTTATAAACTTTCAAAAGTATCCATCTTCTGATGAACCTAGAAAACTGCTTTAGATCGTATAGACTTTTAATGTTATCTTATGTCATGGTATGTTATGTTATAATTTTATAAGGCTCTTGTTTATCCAAATTTTCAGGTAATAATAAAAAAGATTCAATTTAAATGTTACTTGTTGTCGTAGCCGTTTTTTCAAATTTATGGCTTTCTATTATAAAATCACATAACGCTGTTTGCAAATGGACTACTCATATGTATGTACATAACAAAAGAAACAATTAAGATAATGTAATTTATTATAAATTCGTCTTGAAGGACTGCAGCTTTTTCAATCCGCGCAAACATCAAATCCACTATTTGTGGGCTTTCTCTTTGAAATTTTTTCTATTCATTGTTTTTTTTTTCAATTGATCTTAATATTATTCTTACAATTTTTGATTTAACTGCGCATGTTTATAACGTTTGATACTTGACATCTTTATTCAAATCAACCTCAAATGAATTTCAAATGTAAAATTTAAACCTCGTTTTCAATTTGAGAATCATTTGAGAAAAACATTTGATATCAAATTGAGAAATACATTTTTCTCAAACGTTTGAAACTGTGTTTGCTGGGAATTGGTTGCGGCCAAGAGGGTCCGGGTTCAATTACCATCAGACGGAACATAAAATTAAGTTTTTTTTTCTTCTTAGTTACGAAAAAGCATCTGTGCACTTCACAACCACATATTTTATAACGCACATACTCAAATTTAAAACGACACGCTCACTAATGCTTACCTTTGCATATGAAATGCAATAACAACTATACATAATGGGTGCCTATCTGAAAAATCTGCTATGAAAGGAATACTTAAGCTTATTGCACAGAAAACAACAACAGCCCCTAAGTCTACGTGAAGAAATTGTAAGCAAAAAGGTACTTCAGGTTTGACTTACTAAAGTTGACGTGATATGTGTAAAAAGAGAATTTACGTTTTTAAGAAATTAAAAGTTCCTGAAAACAAAGTATAAAGGTTGATAATGTAACTTGTACTAACATGTTAAGAAGGTGAAAATTTGTAACTGTCGCATTGCGGAACTACACTGAGGGAAACAAAATTTTAGAATTAATAAAAGCGTGCTAAATTTAAAAAAAATACGCATATGGAAGAGCACCAACCCAACTCGTTTTAAATTTGAGTATGTACGTTATAAAATATATCGTTGTGAAGTGCACAGATGCTTTTTCGTAATTAAGAAAGAAAAAAATTTAACTTTATGTCCCGTCTGTTTGATGGTAATTAAACCCGGACCCTCTTGGCAGTAACCAATTGTATCAAGCGTCTTTGCACACTCACCCTGCAGGGAACTAGAATTCTACCGGTTTGCATTTCAGCCGAACTAGTTCACGTTCTATCCTTTTTCAATGTTAGCGACTGGTATTTTTAACATTGCGATGTCCTACGAGATGTCAATTGTCGGGCTATGCATCAGCATCTACTAGTATAAATACTAGTAGCATCATACCAGTTGATGAGATAGTCTGCCAATTCATGCCCCGTGAAAAGCATAAGAGTGCCTTTTTGCTCGCGACGCTCCAGCAGTCACAATGGCCGACAGAGCAGAGCACTCGCATGGTTAGCCTGAGGTCCCAGGTTCAAATCCTGGCGCAGGGAAACTTTTTTTATTTTCTATGTTTTATTTTATTTTTATTTTTTTATAAATTTTGTTTTTTTGTTTATGCTGTTTATTGTAATTTTTAAATTTAATAAAAAAAAATATTTTTGTTTAATTTCTTTGTTTTTATATTTCTTCCTAAATCTTTTTTTGCAATGCAATTCGATTTTCAAATTTGTTATTTATTTATAAATTGAATAAATTATTTTTACTTACATTTATTTAACTTTAAAAATCTTAACCACCTCCAAGCGGCCTCGAACCTGCGATTTCAGAACCAGAACCAGTAGTCTTCACGTGACGCCACAGCCGACATTTGTAAGAAAAGCAATTAATTGCGTTTTATTTTTGGCTTTGGCAATTCAAAGGCAGATGTCGCTGATCGCCTAAGTTCTTCGAAATTGTCGAACTGGTAGGCACATAATAGTTAATGAACTAGTATTTTTTCTAACTGGTTTGGCTTTTCACTGCAGGGCATACATGTAAAACCATGTTCTGACCGACAATGAAAACACTTTGAAAACGAGTTTTGGGATTGTGGGCTGAAGGCTGTTCACACCGGCTGTTAGTGTTTTCGTTGACATTTCTTACATCTTCTGATTACAGTTTTGCTACACAAGACCAAAACCAAAACGCTTTTCCCTAATTTTCTTCTCTTTAGCAACCTCTTACTTTCATTCTTATTTTACTTTGGTCAGCCAATTACCAATAAATCCGAAATGGCGTATTAAAGATGATAAAATGTCTTATTTCCACTTCGATAAATAATCGAAAAAAACTAGTGCAGACACCGATTGGACTGAGTGGAACATGAGTTTTCAAGTAGTTTTCAGCGAAAACTGGTTTTCGTTTGACAGATTTTACATGGACGAAAACACAAGTTTCAGGTCGAAAACCAGTTTTAGCAACGAAAACATGTTTTCGATGTCGGTCAGAACATAGTATAAATGTGTTTTCAAATGTTGAGTTTGAATCAACATCATAGCCTGCGATTAGTGCATTATGTCATACCAAGTATATGTGTATGTGTGTATATGTTGTCACCGCTGTGCCTCTTAAGGCAATGCCTTCAAAGAAAAACCGATAGGCGGTTTTGCAATTGGTCGATGGGCGGTTTTGCAAAAACATCGACGATATGCATGTTATGTATGCTAAATATGTGCAGTGTGTATGCAACTTTAAAAAATATTGTACTAAATAATCTATGCTTATGTTTATAAATAAATTTTATTTTTTTTGCGTTCTCTGGTTGCACCACGCTCGCTGCGAGTCGGGGCGGCACGCGGCAATAAGGCAAAAGCACCCGTGGCCGGAGCGAAAAAAATTAATAACTAGCACCTCCGTGCAAGTTTCCGGAGTTTTTTTTTCTTTTAAATAATGTATTATAGAATAAGGATTGATATTCAATGTAAACGATTAAAAAATCTGATCGAGAAGTAATAAATATTTGCATTTGTTATAACATTTTTTTTAAAAAGTTAAAAATTTTATACAAAATAATAATTAATTGAAAAATTGAAACAATCAGGCTAAAGCGTGTCTAATTAACTATTATCGTGGAAAAAATGAGCAAGATACATGCTATGAATCAGTTGATAATAAATAATTACTGAATTCATCACAAAAAAAGTTAATAACAATAACTATTGTAAAAATTCGGATTTTGCAAAATTGTTTAAATTATATTTTTTTTATGGTTGTAAACCGAATAAAGTGATTTGTTCGAAAAAATCTTGACCATCCAATTTTGGGTGGGTGGGAGATTTTCACTCAGATTTTACTAGCAGAAATTCTTCGGGTAAAATCTTGCAACTACCGTCAAATAGAGGACCGATTTTACTCTCTCATTTTTCCCCTACTTTGCCAGAGAACCGAGTACGGGAACGCTTTCTGGTAAATTCCTGTAAATTTATTGCGAGTTAGGGAACGCAACTTGTATTAGAATTATTACAGAGGTTTAGATTTTGAAAATTTTCATGTTTTTAACCGACTTAAAAAGAAGGAGAAACTTATCAGTTCGTCGGAATATTTGTTTGATGTATGTTACTGCATAGCTTTAGACCACTTTAACCGATTTCTATAATTCCTTTTTTAAAGGAAATGTTGTACTGTACCTAAAAGGTGGTCCCATACTGATTTCGTTTAAATCCTATCATTGATTTATGAAGGAATTAGCGGTAATCTTAAATTTTTATATGAGAATTGAAGTCGGCATTGTTTTTTTTTCCTTAAAAACTACTTGGTATACTAAGGAAATATATTCGCAAATGTGTATGATTAACTCACTTCTAAATTTGATGTCAACAGTACCAGTGTCTGTTGTGGTCTTTCGGGCAAAGCGTTTCATATTTCTCAATAGAGAATTTTTGTAATCCACAACGAATCCAAAATTGTTTCGAAAGGCTTCATTGCTGGAATCGGAGTAGTTGATAAACGAGTGGTAACTGCGCAGAACAAAAAACAAAGCATACACGAAAAAAGAACTGCAAACGAATGTGCTAAAAATTTAAGAAAATGACAGTATGTGTAAAAAACTAATAAAACGAGTATTGTAGCATAAAAGTCACACTTACATTAAAATATATGAATCGGTGTCATTGCGAATGCTGTATACATCACTTAGTACTCGATGCCTCAGATATGTACTGTTCCTCACAACGTGATTGCTTTGAAAGAGATACACCTCTAAAATCTGCTGCAAGTCTCCATTATTGCAAGAAGTTGGAAAACAGATGAGCTGCTCTATTTTCTCACTCTGTTTTTGAATTTAAGAAAGAAGAAAAGTTATTAGAAATAAAATGAACCAGTTTATTGCAAGATGTGCTAACCTTGAATCCACCTCCGTATACAATGTCCAACAAGTAGTGACCCACAACAACTTGTACGGCGAATGGCACAATAGTTTCGTTTGAAATAAAACTCCAAGAAGCGTGTTGTACCTGATCCTTATACTGATGCAGTAGGGAACGACAAATGTTTGGGTTGTGTATCCGCACCTTTGATGCTCCACCCAAAGCTCCTCCGGCGTAGTAAGCCGTCGCATCGTACACTTCGTAAACAAACATCTGCCATAACCACCCGCTACAAGTTTCTAGTTTAGCTTATGCATATGTACTTACACTTCACAGCCCACAGATATCCGCGCCGAAGCCCTTCCAAAAAATTGTACATGTCACGCAAACAGTTTTCACTTATATTCCAACCTTTATCGTTGAATTCAAAAAATCGCAAGGTCGCATATGGACTGAAGCCTTCGAACACATAGTTAACGCTGGTTACAACTGTAGCTCTAGCATAGCCCAGATTGTACATTACCAGCAGCAGACCACCGCAAATTCCTACAGAAGTTGCCGAATGCATTTTATACACTTACCCTACAAGTAAATAACATAAATATGAATATGCAACAGAACCACCTGCTTTACGTACACACTCTAAGCTAACAACTTTACAACTAAAGATAAGCAGCCAGTTGATGGCACGAAATGCCACCGTTTGCTTATCGATCAACTTTGAAAGACCAACGTCCTCGAGGTAATAATGCAAAGAAGCTCATGATCAAGAGCATCAAAAGTTAATTTCACTGCGCTGCAAATGTACATTCAATGATGCGGAGAGTGCGTTAACACCGGCCTAACCCTGGGTGAAATTGAAAGTTATAATTTATATTTTTCTTCTGCGGATCGTTTTCTTCTTGATTGCAATAAAACACGCCATTCATTTCTTTGTGGATCACTGCCACAATTTAACGAGTTCACCGTATCTCTTGCATTGAAATATTTAATTCTGAAAATGGCTACATATGTACATAGATATGTATTCAATTTTTATCACCTCGCGGTGTGTATTATACACAGTGTAGTAACTCACAAGTAGTTTTTAGGCAAAAAGCAAAACCGACTTCAATTCTCATATAAAAATTTAAGATTTCCTTTAATTTCTTTATGATGCAATTAGTATGGGACTACCTGTGAAGTAACACCTTTCCTCTACAAAAAGAATTATAGAAATCGGTTAACGTGTTCCAAAGTTATGCGTTAACATACATTAAAAAATATATATATATTCCGGAGAATTGATAACCTTCTCCTTTTTGTGAGGTCGGTCAGAAATAATAAATATTTTGAATCATATACTTTTTCCTCCTGAAAACATTTCACTAAAAGTAATTTATGTTTGTAATTTATTGTAGGGCCCTCATTAACCCTGGAAATACTAATTGGGAACGCTTTTGGAACATACTAGACGATATGATGGAACATATTCAAGCGAGGAGTAGCTAAAAGATTTGGCAGCACCCACTTTCCGGGATGCATGGACTCGAGCGACCTCGTTAGTGGAGGAAGTATAGCGAGTAGCATCCCGCCAAACGTCATAACTTCTTCCAAAGTAAAATGGGCAATCAACAGTTTTGAGCCCTGCTAATCCCCGGGAGTAGACGGAATATTCCCAGTCTTACTCCAGAAGGCTAGTCACCTTGTGGTACCTTGGCTGAAGGCGATATTTTGGACAAAGTACGCCAGTCGTTTCTCTTCTGTGCCAACTGCCCCAATTGGAAATGCCAAATGAAGCCAAGTCCATCTCCACTTGATCTTTCCATCGCAGTGGGGGCCTTCCTCTTCCTCTGCTACCAACAGCGGGTTTCGAGTTGAATACTTTAAGAGCTGGCGCGTCATCATTCTATCATCGCCAACGAGTAAAGGCCGGTACATCTTCCGCAAAGTCTTTCTCTCGAATACTCCAAGAGCCGCCTCATCGGATGTTGTCATTGTCCATGCTTATGCGCTAGATACCAACACGGGCATGATGAGTGCCTTATAGTGTGATTGTTTGTTTGATGACAGGAGATACTTCGTCTTCTCCTCGTTGACCACCAGATCCAATCGGTTTGCTTATTATCCAACTTGGAAAAGGCAGAACAGTCTTTGCAGTTCTTGGTGTCGGTATCATCGGTATCTTCTCCAAGATCAGGTTAAATCAGACACTGAAAATAAAAGTTATTTTAAAATTTTTGATATCAAAAAGGCATAGTGAAAAAATTATGTTATAGCTTTTTCAAAGGTACAATTAGACTCGTCTCTAATTGTAGATTCTGATTCCTCCATGACTTTTAAAAATATGACTTTTATCATTTTGAGCAAATAATACCGATTATTTCTGCTTTTTATTTTTTTAAGGCAAAAATAAAAGTTAAAATTTGCCTTTTATTTATTTTGAGCAGAAAATAATTAATTAATTATAAAATATATATATATAATATATAAAGTAATTATTGACTTTTATTTTTTCAGGCAAAAATAAAAGTCAAAGTTAAAAATCAAGTATTCCAGAGCTGTGTATATTCGAATGTGATAGTTTTGAAGCTCCTACGTGGATTTTGATAACCCCTATATCCAAATACCAGGGTTAGTTCAAATCTATATACATATGTATACATATAATACATGAAGGGAGTTTTTGTTAACGGCATCAGATCTGCACCGATTATTCGATTTTCAAATCTGAGGTGTTAAATTAAAGGGCTTAGCCTCTAGATGTATATACCACAAGGCATGACTTTTTTGAATAGGGTTGCCACCTTTTTTTAAATTATAAAATCTGCACCGGTCGTTGTATTAAAACAGAAGAGGTGAAAAATGAAAGGGCTAGACCTGCAGATGTGCAAGAAGGTCTCAGTTTTTTTAATAGGGTTGACACCTGCTTCTAAAACAGAAGATTTACACCGTTCGTTGTATTAAAACAGAAGAGGTGAAAAATGAAAGGGCTAGACCTGCAGATGTGCAAGAAGGTCTCAGTTTTTTTAATAGGGTTGACACCTGCTTCTAAAACAGAAGATTTACACCGTTCGTTGTATTAAAACAGAAGAGGTGAAAAATGAAAGGGCTAGACCTGCAGATGTGCAAGAAGGTCTCAGTTTTTTTAATAGGGTTGACACCTGCTTCTAAAACAGAAGATTTACACCGTTCGTTGTATTAAAACAGAAGAGGTGAAAAATGAAAGGGCTAGACCTGCAGATGTGCAAGAAGGTCTCAGTTTTTTTAATAGGGTTGACACCTGCTTCTAAAACAGAAGATTTACACCGTTCGTTGTATTAAAACAGAAGAGGTGCCAAATAGAAGGGCTGGGACTGTAGATGTGCAAGAAGGTTTCAGTTTTTTAAATAGGGTTGGCACCTGCTTCTAAAATCATAAGACTTACACCGTTCGCGCAATTTAAAAAAAGGTGCCATGTAAACTGGCTTGATCTAAAGATTTGCAAGAAAGAACGTCTTATTTTTTTTTGAAAAGTGTTGCCGCCTAAAAAATTTTTATTTTTGGGAAGAGCATCAGATTTACACTGTTCTGTCGCGTTTCCAAATGAGATGTCAGATGAAAAATATTGACTTCTAGACCTGTTTTGGTTTTTTAAAGGGTTGCCGCCTAATTAAAAATGCATTGTTTAAATATGATAGTCAGTAAAATGTCACAATATGGGCATCAAGCGAAAGGGGTTTGAGACTAAATTAATATGTTGATGTTTTTAATAGAGTTACCACTTATTAAACTAATTTATAACTATGAATGGTAAGTAATGTATTAAGGACATTCGATATTGCTATCAAACGAAAGCTGGTTAAGAGGACTTTTGTGTAATTGTATGCGAATTTTCGATGGTTGTCATATAGTTTCTAATTTATTGATTGAAATATTCGAGTTAATTAAAAAGTTACAAAGTGGGCTTCAAACGAAAAGAATTTAAACTAAATTAATATGATTGTGTTTTTAATATTAATATGTAGTCGCCACCTACTTAAAAAAATGGTGCACGTATTGAAATAATATTTAAAGATATCTAATATTGGTATCAAACGAAAGGAAGTTAGGTGAGCTTCTGCGATATTTATTTAGAAAGTTTATAACTATGAACGGTAAGTAATTTATTAATGATATCCAATTATATAGCAAATGAAAAGGAAAAGAAGTTATGTTTTACAAAGATATATTTTTTCGAGGGTTGCCACTTAGTTAAAAATGTATTGAAAGTAAACGATAATTGATCATTAAATACTTATTTATATTACGATACATACAAGTTTTTGGAAAAATAAAAAATATATATAGGTTACATACATATAGAAGTAAGAATTGTTCGAAGGTTGCCACTTAAAAATTTACTGAACGTAAACGATAATTGATAATTAAATACTTATTTATATTAACATACATACAAGGTTTTGGAACAAATAAAAAATAAACCGACACTTGCGATCAACTAATTAAGTCATCAATATTTTTAACAATTTTTGTTATTTTTCTTTTGCTTATTTAATGTTTATTATTTTTCCATAAAAGTCTAGCTCATTATATACCAACACCATATAAATCCACGTTTCAAACCATGTGCAAAAATTACAAAAAATTTGCAAAGTTTCAGCTAAAATTGTTAAAAATGTTTATGACTTAATTAGCTTATCGCAAGTGTCGGTTTATTTTTTATTTTTTCCTAAAACTTGTATGTATGTTAATATAAATAAGTATTTAATTGCCAATTATCGTTTACGTTCAGTAAATTTTTAACTAAGTGGCAACCTTCGAACAATTCTTACTTCTATATGTATGTAACCTATATATATTTTTTATTTTTCCAAAAACTTGTATGTATCGTAATATAAATAAGTATTTAATGATCAATTATCGTTTACTTTCAATACATTTTTAACTAAGTGGCAACCCTCGAAAAAATATATCTTTGTAAAACATAACTTCTTTTCCCTTTCGTTTGCTATATAATTGGATATCATTAAAAAATTACTTACCGTTCATAGTTATAAACTTTCTAAATAAATATCGCAGAAGCTCACCTAACTTCCTTTCGTTTGATACCAGTATTAGATATTTTTAAATATTATTTCAATACGTGCACCATTTTTTAAGTAGGTGGCAACTACATATGTATATTAAAAATACGATCATATTAATTTAGTTTAAAATCTTTTCGTTTGAAGCCCACTTTGTAACATTTTAATTAACTAGAATATTTAAATCAATAAATTAGAAACTATATGACAACCATCAAAAATTCGCATACAATTACACAAAAGCCCTCTTAACCAGCTTTCGTTAGATAGCAATATCGAATGTCCTTAATACATTACTTACCATTCAAAGTTGTAAATTTGTTTAATAAATATATTAAATAATATATATAAATAATATTATTAAAAACACCAACATATTAATTTAGTCTCAAGCCTCTTTCGATTCGATTGATGCCCATATTGTGACATTTTACTGACTATCATATTTAAACAATGCANAGATAGCAATATCGAATGTCCTTAATACATTACTTACCATTCAAAGTTGTAAATTTGTTTAATAAATATATTAAATAATATATATAAATAATATTATTAAAAACACCAACATATTAATTTAGTCTCAAGCCTCTTTCGCTTGATGCCCATATTGTGACATTTTACTGACTATCATATTTAAACAATGCATTTTTAATTAGGCGGCAATGCTTTAAAAAACCAAAACAGGTCTATAAGTCAATATTTTTCATCTGACATCTCATTTGGAAACGCGACAGAACAGTGTAAATCTGATGCTCTTCCCAAAAATAAAAATTGATTGGGCGGCAATACTTTTCAAAAAAATAACACGATCTTTCTTGCAAATCTTTAGATCAAGCCAGTTTACATGGCACCTTTTTTTTAAATTGCGCGAACGGTGTAAGTCTTATGATT